AGTACTTAATACGCATGTATGCTGATTAAGAATATATATGGTGTTGGGGGTGAACTCTTACGTGGGGGGAGAAGATAGACAGACAGACAGACAGACAGACAGACAGACACAAAAACGGCTCGCCCTTTATATAAGAGATATACTCAATTTCCTCATTTCTACATTTTCAAGCATTACTACGTTTTCAAATTATAGTGTTAGCCTGATGTGGCAGTCTGAGGGTGAATGTACACTGCTTCAGTTTTCCCATTTGCTTACCATTACCAACATGCATGCACTACTCAATACTATTCAGACACTTACTCAAAAGAGAAAACAGGTCTAATACAGGTGACTACAGTACAAACATTGTACAGTTTGTATCCTAAAGGCTCTCTGTTAGATACCAGAAACGAAATAATTCTAGACGCGACGCGTGCATTGCACGTTTTACAGCGCGACGACTGGGCGTGGGAACAAGTCCACCCTACACAATCAGTATCTAATCAGTAATCTCCTATTATCTACTCTTGATACATATATACAAGTTACAACATAAGCAACAATCCTGCGTGACAGTCTATCGTTTATAGACACGCTTGTTAAATACACATTTCTCTAACCCGCCTTCCACGAGTTTCTATGATGGACTGATTTGCAACGGTATGTAAACCGGAGGCTAGACGAGATTTTCACTTCTGCCCGATGAGGGCGAATGATGAATGATGAATGTACCGCTGACCAATGAATGATTGGCACTGATTGCTAAATGGAAAATATACCCCCCCCCCTCCCAAAGCGAACCGATCGCTTCGCTTTTTTCTAATGCGAGCATATCGGTCATTGATACCAACAATGACAGTTTACGATGTTGACATCAGTGCTTGAACTGCTTTTTTTTCTTTGCCGTAAAATATGTCCGAAAATGGCTTGCAACCCCCTCATTATGTACAGTGTGCGTGGAGCAGACTTTTTCCTACACCCAGTGAGCGAGACCAAATTGCTCGCACAGTGGGAACAAACTGGAATCGCAGGCCTGCATTTAGCAAAAACGCAAGATAAAATCAAGAGGAGAATAATGTCGGTTCGGCCATCATTCCTGATCTGTCATTATTCACCCGTGACCAAATGTATAGCTAAGACAAACCCACTGAAGATAAATGAATGATTATCTACTTCCAGTTACAGAAAACGTAGCCTGTCCCCCTAGTCCAGGACTGGTAACATTTGGGCATAGAAATCAACATTTTTGAAGTCAGGATTTTCAGACTAATTTCCAAGACTGATATAACATGAGGTCACTGCACGTAATATGGTGTAACATGGGATCAACGTGTCCTTGGCTGCACTTTTCATCAAATTAGTTTCGACACAAACCTGAGCACGATAGTGTTTACTCTACGCAATTTTATTGATATTCTTTTGACTTATTACCCATACTGTTAATAACTATTTGTTTTATTGCGCTACATCTGTATCACAACTGGCTCAATAAATGTAGGCTACGATAAACAAATTTACTCTGAATGAATGTACGTTAGTAATAGTTACAATGTAAGATTTTACCTCGAGTGTTTCACAGATGCTGCTTAGAAGGTCGTGATCACTCTGCATGGAACTTTCAATGTCATAGTGGTCAAAATCTATCTGATCTGTAACAAAAACATTTGAATTTGAAGCGTGGTCACTTACGTTGTAATATCCTGAATCTAAGTCATAATGAACATTAAACCACAGCCCATTAAGTGACACAGCGCAGCAAGGATAGCAGAGAACCAGCCAAGTAGGTAACGAATATACGAGCAGTGTAGGGCTATGGACGAGGGAAGCCGTGAGGTTAGAGGCATATAGATGTGAGCGGCGCAGGCGAAAGCGCATCTAGATATAGTGATGGGTAGAACGAGAGAGCCAGAGGCTGACAGAGCGAAGAAAGGTAGAGATAGAGATGAGAGCGCGCGAGAGAGGGAAGGGCATAGGAACCAGGAAGGGAGAGGAGAAGGGAGAGTACGAGCGGAGACGGACGAGGCAAAAGCGAGAGAAGATGAAAGAGAGAGAGAGCGAGAGATAGAGAGCGAAGAGCGAGCAGAGAGAGAAAGAGCAAGAGAGAGAGAGAGAGAGAGAGAGAGAGAGAGAGAGAACAACTGATGGCAACTGTTTTTGGACACAAAAAATAGGTTGCAGGAATTACCACGGCAGGACACGACAGTTACAAGATCAGTACATACCGGTCGACATCTACATGAACTTGTCAGCTGTACTAACGTAAACGCTCAGCAGTAGCACGTATAGGATTCATTGCAAGTGAGCACGACGGCAAACGCGCGCACACGAGACACACACTGAGCACTGAAGCTTGCCAAGTACAAACTGAAAACCGTTATAGAGCAAGCTCCTGAACTGCCAATTGAACAACCTGATGATGGCTTCTGGTTTTAGTGAAATTTCGCTCATTTCGGATAGCTGCTTGTGTCGATCACAGCTAATAACTGTATGATATATATGCATAATAACTGCATGACAACTGAATAACAATTGTATAATAATTGTGCAATAACTATGCAATAATTGTATAATAACTGAACATGATAACTGTACAACAAAAGTTCTGCATAATAACAAGAGTATATAATAACATATTTAAGTTATATTATCTACTCTTGATAATAACTAAACACGATAACTATACATAAACTGTATAATGACTGTAAGCCGTAACACCCTCAGACGTGTCTGCATATCCAACACAGCTGTTACCAGGACACCCCGACTACCTCGCGAGTAGCCGTTGTCATGGGGATACCTCTCTGGTCTCATCACGGGTTAAAATCTAACACCTCAGCAATGCAATGTATTGGCAGTCAGGCCAAGACACGCTGTAGGCCTATAAGCCGGCGCCAGAAGTGAAGCATGACCAGTCCCTCACCATAGCCGGCATAGCACACCATTATAGGATGCATCGTACCTCCCATAGCCTCCATCACTGGGGTTCAAGGCCACCTTGGTCACACAGACAAGTGCTACGTACAACACGTAACCTCAGAACAGATACGTGGGTTCTCCCTGGCACCGGCACTACCGCCGGGGGATCGAAGCTGAGATAACCCGAAACTGTGGTCGGCAGTGAAACACAAAGAGAGACCGTACCGTATAAATAACCACAGGATCCATAATAATCACAGAAATAATTACGATAATCACATAAATAACACACAGGATGTCCATTTCTCGTAAAATATACTAGGTATGAAAGGCACACAGGTATAACACGTGTATACTAACGTTCCTCCTCCTGCGACAGGTCCCAGCCTAGCTTTCTGAGAATGCTCGCCATGACAGACAGAGAAATCTTCGGACGATCCCATGAAATAGAGCCAGTCGCACGTAAAGGTGGAGAGTCCTTCAACCCTCACAGGGGCTTCCGAGTAGCGAAGGCCACGAGTTTCGTCGTTACACACACTTGGCCAACGCGACTAGCGAACTCACGGTCACCGCAAGAAGCGATCGAAAAAATTCTTTGAGGAAGACTCAACACTACAGAGAGCGGTACGTCACTCACTGCTGTCGTTTCCTCTGCTAACTCTGCTGTTGCGATCGTGCCTTGATCCTCGATGCTTGTCCCGTCCCCAGAGGCGGCCACTCGTCCTGCTGTCACTATTGCACGACTCCTCCGGCCACAGCTGGGTCACTAAGTGAGAGTGGTCACTCTAGTTTTACTGCCCACCGGTCCGGTAGGTCAGTAGTCAGTCCACCACACCGCACTGCACGACTCGTGTGAAATAACTAGAGCGACCACATAAATGCCGGTTTAGCTAGGCTGCGCAGACGCATCACGGGGTCCTTAACATCTCTCCTCCTCTCTCTCTCTCTCTCTCTCTCTCTCACACCCCACACGTGCGCGCGCACGCCACACGCCACACACATCGACGCACCACCGCACACGGTCACACACTAGTGACACACGACACACAGACACGCACGCACGGCATCAGCACTACACAGACACACAGACACACGCACGCACCCGACCCGCCAACGCACACACCCCACAGACACGCACGCGACGCACGGCACACCCCAGACACCGCACGCACGCACGCACTGCACCACGCAACGCCCCCACACACACACACACCGCCCACAGCGCACCCGACCAGTGGAATGCATAGTGTATGCTCCGCGCTACTAACCTAAGCGCACTAGGGTCAGCCGTAGCCGCGAGTGCAAGGCCCGTTCAGTGATACCGCCGAGAGCATGCAGCGCGTAACGGCCAGCGAGGAAGCAGAGGGAAAGGAGAGAGGGGAGAAAGGCGAAAGAACGAAGGGGAGAAAGAGGAGAGAAAGAGAGGGAAAGAAGGAGGGAGAAGAGAGAGGCGGAGGGAGAACAGAGCGAGCGGGCGCGAGAGAGCGAGAGCGCGAACGCGACACCGAAGAGAGAGAGAGAGCGCGAGAGAGCTAGAGAGAGAGAGCGTGACAGCGAGAATGAGAGAGCGAGAGAGCGAGTCGAGGGCAGCGAGAGAGACACGAGACAGGAGACAGAGACAGAGACCGAGACAGCGCCAGAGACAGACGACAGCACGAACCACAACCCCAGAAACAGACAGAGAACAGAGAAGACAGAGAGACAGAGAGCCAGAGAGACAAGAGCCCAGAGAGACCCCGAGAGGGCCAGCGATGCAGAAGGCAGAGACCATGCGCGACAGAGAGACAAAAACAAAACACACAAAAAAAAAAAGGAGAGCCAAGCGAGACTAGAGATACAGAGAGACGAGAGACAAGAGAGACCGAGAGACAGAGAGACAGAGAGACGAGAGACAGAGAGGACAGGAGCCAGAGAGACAGAGAGACCAGAGAAGACAGAGAGCCAGAGAGACAGAGAGACAGCGAGACAGACAGGAGACCAGAGAGACCACGAGAGACAGAGAGACAGAGAGACAGAGAGAGAGAGAGAGAGCGAGAGAGAGAGCGAGAGACGAGAGAGAGGCGAGAGAGAAGGAGAGAAGAGCGAGCGAGAGAGAGCGAGAGAGAGCGAGAGAGAGAGAGAGAGAGAGCAGAAGAGAGAGAAGAGAGAGAGAGAGAGAGAGAGAGAGAGAGAGAAAGGGGAGTGGAAGTTCAAGAGAGTAGGAAAACGAGAAGCAGGAGGAGAGTATGATGCCCGCATGAACGTCGCTCACCTTCAAGATTTAAAAGTGACCCCTGGAGTTTTCGAGATAGCATTTTGATTTAGTATCTGAGCATTGCAGAACGTACAGTTCGCAAACTTATGTCAAATTGTGACAAAGTTTCCTTAGATACACGTAGCAAAATCTACATTCGTTTGAGCATACATACGCAGCTGTATTTTTCGTACCTAAACTATACGCATAATACCTGATAATAATCATATAGACATTTAATCCCTCGATTTCTGACCACGGTACTACCCCCATGCGCGAATATCCGTGATAGCTTTATATATATATACCAGCATCAACTCACGTGCATCGACTACCGTTACTGTACAGAACAGGATCCATTGGGACCTACTCATAAATGCAGCTGTCGCCCATAGGGTACACCTGTCGCCCATGCCAGCCGTATACCTGTTGTCAGTGGCTACGTGCAAAACATGCAGTCGATCAAAACCAGAGCTGTCTAGTACAGTACATACGCCGTATTCAACGACGCGTTAGACAAGGGGTCATTGTACACACCAACCGCACTCAGAGTACCAAAGTACCAAACCATTGTACCAGAGTACCAAACCATTGTACTGGTACCGTACCATTTACAGCACTTGGCAATACAAAGACGTCTATTATTAATATATTTTGCACGATATCCCCTGCAATATTTTGGTCGTGTGTTGCATAACAAACATCTATTATTAACAAGTCACACAATTTCGTGCGTGCGTGTGTGCAGGTCCATAGCCTAGTTGAGGAGAAAATGTTTGAACGTGTTACACATGCATGTCACAGCTAAATTCACGTAGCCGAAAAAACATAAAAAGGAAAGGGCCATGGCCACAATAGGCTTTAGTTTAGCTGTGTACATCATACATGTGTTTGGGATTTCAATTTAAAATTGAAGATCACAACATCGGCGACCAGGAGTAATGACCTATCCAAACCCACTCAGCAAGAACAGAATGAAAAAACCTTTCAATTTTTCGAAAGCCATTTAAAACTCATTGGCCTTTACACAATCCAAAAATCTAAATGCGTGAAAACGTCTATTCTCCACTGGAATACAAAGAAGACTACTTTACTTTTCCATTTACACACACATTGGCTCAAGTAATTATGATCATTACACGTACTCTCACAATGTCACTGCATACACTAATAAACATCCACTCACTGTACACCCCAACACAATAAACCTTCCCTACCCATACCCTCTACAATACCCATCTCTACTGCTCTACAATATCCATACACCCTATAGATCATGCAAACCAACCACATATATATATATACACGAGTTATTTGCTAACGTTTACCCACGGTAAATGTGTGCATGGTTTGCACTGGACACAACCACAAAGTATATTGAAAATCCTAATCATATTGAAGAAAATGTGAAAAGCATGACAGGCCGTGCAAGCTGTTAATAGCAGGAGTGTATAATATATATAGGCGCGAATATATATAGGATTAGGGCGCGAAATTAGCACCGGCCCACCGGCATATATGCCGGCACATTATTTGGAGGGCCGGTAACATTGGCAAAACACCGGCCCTCCGAGCCGGTGGTTTCAGCCATGTTAGCGAGTACCTACATTTTTATAGCCTACATTATTTATATAGCAAATGGCCTACATTACAGTTTTACCTGAAGGATATCACGCCATAACTTATCAACATTTTACAAATTTGAAATCGAGAATGCAAGCGTGAAACATGACATTGCTTTTACAAAAAAATGGCTAACGCTCCATTAGGAGTGTTCCCAACTTTGATATCATTAATGATTAATGATTAATGATTGATAATCCTAACCCTAACCCTAACCCTAACCCTTATCTAAATGACATTAAACCACAAACTAATATATGACCATATATATATATATATATATGTTATTATGACCATTAATCACATTAAAGTTGGGAACACTCCTAATGGAGTATCACCCAAAAAAAATTGTGAGGGCTGGTAAAAATAACTGTTACCAACCCTCTGGGCCGGTGCAAAAAATCTGAATTTCGTGCCCTGTAGATATAGATAAATTATCATGTGTAATACTATCAGGAGTGTATCAATATTGATACACTCCTGATACTATCACACGTGGCAGCTAGATGCCTAATTCTTATACAGCTCTCCTAATCATAATTCATGTGTACGTCAGTAATATTAGCGTAAAACATACGGTAAATAGGCAAAGCACATAACAAGCAGTCAGCACCACAATTCCTTAGCCAACTACAAAGAGAAAATAAGTAGATATATAGGAACGAACTAGCCCCGAATATATGTGACAACTGCCCCCGAAATTACGGCCCTGGTTTTATTAATACAAAGAATAACGCAATAAACGGATACACACAGCATGTAATTTTCCTCGTCTCTGCACCAGTTTGCCGACCCTATATTTAGCAGAAGTGCCATGTTGTACATATACGGTTTAAAGTAACAGCATGCAAACACGGTGTGTGCGATTCCGTGCGCATGCGTGGTTGCATTTGTATGTAAGGAAGTAGCATTTAGTTTGACGCTAGCTCTACCCGAGTAGCTCATTGCTCTGTCACAGACTCACATACAGGGTTACACGGCAGAGTATGAAGCACACCAGTAAGTAATGCAGAGTGCACACTACCTAATGCTGCCCTATTTAAAAATAGGTGCAAATATTGCACACCCAATAAAAGGCTGAACCTTTGTGTTGATTTGAAGCCAACATGTTTATTTTGCTGTGTAAAGTCTACTTTAATTGTATCACGACTGTGCAGTATATCCTGCTATATGCTACAAGATTGTGTGCTTGTTCTCGCCATACGTTGCTGTAGCCCTGTGACAAAGTGAAAAGCTACATGGGTAGAGCTAAGTTGGCAAGACAAAATGCAGCTAACCACCAGAGTTAAACTCTGTGCTGGGAGATCTCTGAAAAGAGTAGATTTCCCTCGATATTTAGTGACACTAGTAATGGGAAAAAATGCAAATAGTGCAATTAAAAAAAAAAAAAAATACTAACCATGCAGGACTTGGAGTATTATTATTACATATCATACACTGTTACAGTCCTGTGATGCCCTATTAGTTTAAGCATATTATAGAACCATCAAAGGCTTATGAATTTGAAGGACTTATGATAGGTAGGATTAAGGTTAGTTTAGTGTTATAGAGAGGGATAGATGTAGGGTTAAGGTTAGGGGTCACAGCTGAACCAAGCTGCTAATTTTACACTTGGTGATGCATTTTTCCTAACCATTAACCATATCTATGAAAACATTGCTAGTCCAACAGTCCACTTTACTCAGTTGTGGGAAGCTGGGTTAACTATTCTTAAATTCGGAGTGGCTGGAGGTAAGGCAGCCGTCGTTCGTTGAAGCCCCTTTTTGGCGTTTGTCTGAGAGCTGAGGCAATTATTTGTGATCTTCTGATGTAAAGTTTACAATAATGTTCATTTTCATAATCATACCTAATCCGAGTAATTCTAGCTCATCCAAACTCTCAAATCGTCAATTTATTTCCCAAGGTGTTATTTTGAAATCTGCCGCCATCCGCCGCCATCTTTGTCTTGTTAAGTATAAAAGCGAATGGACTGCCGTACTTCCAGCCTCGTAAATTAGAGATACGGCTGCTGTACCTCCAGCCACTGCCTATTAATTAGTAATCTAACAATGGACTTGCTGTGATCCAGTGGTTAGCCTAGCTGTCCACCATTCACTGCAAAAACTGTGAGGTCAAACTCCAGCCAAGGCAGTGAATCGTCGATCTCAATACACGTGTGTAAAAACCTGGCTCTCAACAATTGGGATTTGGGACTGTGACTTCCTCGTTGCTCGGATGACCGCATTAAACTGCGGGTGCATCTTAAGAATTGGGAACGTAAAAAGAACCACTGCAGACGTAAAACACTCTGACAGTGACCACCCTCAGTGTCAGCAAAGCAATCCCACTGTC